TCAGTATAATCACGAAGGCATTTCATGTGAAACCTGTCTAGCGTGCGGATATGCTTTCGATATATTGCCTCGGAGGAATATAGTAGTTATAAATATCGTTATTATTCATTCATCATTATCACTATTGTTAAATTAACTGGTTCGTTTTTTTTTTTTTATTAATGGTATACATATTCTATGATTTGATTAAAATAATTAATTTTAGATTCTTATGTATTTAGATATTTATTGTTTAAATAAAAAGAGTTTTAGTGCATTTAAAAGTTACAAAAATTATAAGACAAATAAAAAAATAGAATTAATAAGGGAGTACTTATTTCCAGTACCTTTAAATTTATGCATAAATACAATTATAATGAAAATATTACACGCCGGTTTTTAGTTTTGCAAGTATACAAAAAAAAATTTCCCTACAATTGAATTGAAATTCCTGAACTAAGGTGAATTTTTTTTAATATGTATTGAATTATTTTTTATTTGTATTTATTATTTGTATATCTACACTATTTTCTTACGTCATATAAATATAGTGTTTATATAGGTATTTACATGGAGATATTATTGATATTAGGTACCCAAGCAATCGACTTTTGTACAAAGTTTCCCTCTTGTTTATATTATAAAGGATTAAATACTCATTAATATTTTAAGTTACAACATTCACCTATTAAAGTAATAAGTTTTTACCTGGTAACCCTATCACGCACACGTGACTAACGATGACTTGTTTTTTATTATCTCACGTGTTACTAGGCACACAGAAGTCGACAAGAAGTTCTCTAATTACGTTTGTGGGAAGTTTTATTTTAAAAATATCGATGTCTATTTAAATGCGAATTTTATGCACCTACCTAGAAACAGTAATGACTCAAATATGCGGCCGGATTCACAGAATAAGCATACATCGCTGCTTAGCGAATACAATGTGTTATTTAAAAAAAGTGCTATTTTAAGTATACAAAAAAAATGTCCACCGTTTATTAGAGATTTAAACTGAGAGTTCAGTGATCATGCGCTGACGGTTTGTTTTATAATCAGCTTCTATCCGCGAGTTGGTCCGCGTGACTGGGATATGTTCAATGACCAGGATACAGTACGTGTATAGCAAATATAGTCATTAGTTAAGCCATTAAGGCGCTTTGAGGTAACAGACCAACAAACAAACCCACTCTTACATAATATTAGTTAAAGCTTTAGAGCTCGATTTGTAACTGCAACTATATAATAACATACAAACAACCGTTACTGTCATTTTATAAAACGTAAAATATTATCAAACGATAATTGCTAGTGCAGGCTTTTTATAAGTAACCTTATACGTAACACTATACGAATACTCTAATATACATATATAATAAATACATTATGTAACTCGTATATTATTCTTATGTCTTTAAAATAGCTACATAATTTAATATAAACAACCAACACGCATACATCATCAATATTAATTTACACATAAGCCTTCCTCACAAGGGGATTTTTGCCAGTAGTTGCCACGCTCGGCAGGCGGGTTAGCAACCGTAGTTAGGCTTTTACAGATGTTTTAAAAGGGACGGTGCTACCCATCCCTCGCCCTCCCTTAGTCGCCTCTTACGACACGCATGGGAAATGGCAGTGAGCCATTCTATTCCGGGACCGACACAGCGATATTAATATTATAATACAATATTGTATAATATACAAGCGAATTCAGAACCTCTTTCTGAAAAAATCCCGCGATTAGATTGATTTATTTAAAATCCATATTCCTATGTGTTGTCGACGTAACACGGTGAGTGCGAGCGAGACGAACTATCTCTTCACACGCCGCGCCGTAGCATGTGCGTTGAAACGATCTGCTACGGCGCTTGCACTGCGAGCGTGCCGCTACGACTCTGTGACGTCATCCGTCTGTGCTACGAATACTCACCTATCCGCTACGAGTGTGTTCTACGACGCGCGCTGCTATAGTAATTTACATTTGCATACATTTGGTGACGCATCGCAGAAAGCAATGTGTGCATTGCTTGTTGGTGTTGGATTCTAGCATTATGTAATGCAAATAAATATAAAATACTCGAGGTCAGCACAATATGTAACTAGTCAGGCCATAAATACTGTTATATAAAAACTTTTCTTTTAATTATATTAAATTTAGAACATGTTTATTACTTTAAAAACTTTTTCGATTTCGCGCTTTTTTATATTTTAGATACATATTTTCGTGCAGTTTCGCTATATTTAAATAGTACAAGATTCAGTAAACAACATGTTTTATATTACTAAAATAGGGTATCTGTAAAATAAATTACAATGTTGTATCAAGAAATGTGCCATTATTAGTCAAATAGATGTCTAACTAAAGACATAAAGATAACTAACTCTTCAACATAGGGAGGAAGGGATTGTTAGTAATGAGGGTCTAACAGCCCCATTGCTAACAATGCACCCTATCAGGTCGACCTCCACATAGTTCCCCCTGGAAATCATCACGATGAATGATGATGATGAAAATGGTGAGGAATTCGTCACGATGGGCTAATTGACCAGCTTCCATTTTCACCTGTCGTCCCTCACTAGTGCGTCGCCAGCGTATGCCGATAGCGCAGGCGAAGTTACAAATCCATTTTCATCCCATGAAAAAAAAACTCTTCAACATAACATATGGGAACATGCCTTACGACACCCACGGAAAAGGAAGGGGTGGCCTATCCCTATATACTACAAATAGTATTTCTTCGCTTTTTTATTTCGTGGTTATGAAAGTGCGCGAACTTCTAATATAGGTGATATCACTTACTAGAAGGTCACAACAACGTTTTCTGTATTTTGTATTTTTTTTTATTTTATTAGACAAAAAACACAAAGTTACAAAAACAAGATACAATGGGCCCCACACTAGGCGAGCCTGTATCGTGGGCACCCGACAAAGATTAACAAATCGCAAATGTGTTGTAATAAAAAGTACATAGTGGGCGGGTATTAATATAAAAAGGAATATAAAATTGAAATAGTGAAAAAAGTAATAAAATCAACAATATAGATACAGAAGCAATTATAAAACACTAAAGTACTAGTTTTGTTTAAAAAAAAATATTTTTATTTTTCATAATTTTCTCTTGTTACCTCTCACTGGCGCTGTAGATAGATAGATAGGTAGATAGATAGATATACATGTTCATAAGAGTAGATAATACATAATACAACATAAGATTTATAAAATTGTGTTATTATGTGTGATCTGCAGCAATACAAAAAGGTCGAAGCTCAGCGTGGAACATTGTTCAAGGAACAAAACACTGATTTTCAGCTTTAACCCATTTGAGGGTACGTGAAAATAATAATTAAAATAAATATAAAATAAAAAGAGCAATATTACTGTCTGATCTGTATTAGTATGTGCGGTGTGTGTATAATAAAAATAATGTAAATAGTTCAGAGTATAATTTGATATAATTTTAACTGAGTGGTAAGGATAAAGTGAAAAAAAAAAAAAGAAAATATTAATAAGAGAAACATAGAAAAAAAAATATTAAAAATCATTACATGAGATTGCAACCGCTAGCCAAGAAATTTTTGTGGAATGCCTAAAATTTGTTTTTTTAATAAGTATTCTTCGTGATGTTTTTTAAAACTGTGTACAGTAGTCTGTTCCAACGTATACGATACGATATGACAGCACAGGCGGGCTACCATACATGACCTCGTAACCTTCAAGAAAAGAGCATATTCCTTTTTAAAAGGCCGGCAGCACACCTGCAGTGCCGTATGTGTTGTGGGTGACCATGGGCGGCGGTAGTCACTTACCATCAGGTGAGCCGCAAGCACTTTTGACCCCTGTGTTGTAAAAAAAAATACACCGGCGGGGCACCAGTGAAAGATGATAGGTGAAGAAACTCCATTGCTAACAAACCCTTTCCCCCCAAATCTGTAATATTATTTCCATTATACAGGACTTATATAGGCATTGATACAGTTTTAATTTTAATGTATACAAATAATTAGAAAACATATTGAGATTTGAATAAATTGATTGAAAAATAATACGTACTCGTAAAACCACCGAAACATGTACAATAAATAATAAAAGTTAAAAAAAAATACTTTCAGGCATATTTTTTCTTTTCTAGAGGGACGAAGTAATGTATGTTCAGCCTTATACGATACTAGCTGTATCCCGCGGCCCCGCCCGCGTGGATCAGTGCATAAAGAATTCTATGTACTAAGTTACGATATAATTTACCCGTGTACCAAATTACATTTAAATTCGTTCAGTAGTTTTTGCGTGAAAGAGTAATAAAGATCCAACCACAGTTTTAGTGTAACGTATGTAATATTATATGAATATGATTATGTTACCTTACAAACTTTCGCATTTATAATAACATTCCTAATAAATGAAACAGTAACATGATATGGTGGTACCCTCACTCCTTTTTCCCACGATTCTTTATTTAAATAATTTCAGAACATTCGCTCGTAAAATAGGTCGCAGTACCAGGAACACAGAAATATTAAGGAGACCCATAGTCGCGGGTGAGACAAGGACATCCCTTTGTGTGAGTGAAATAATTATATTTTTTACAATCAACAACATTTTAAATTTTTTTTAATATAACTTTACGGCTTTGGATATTACCTTTTAGCCCATATTTAATATCGATTACTCTTCATGTAGTCAATATTTTTCTTGAATAATTTATATAATTGAATCCATCTTGATGTGAGTACAGTGTTTTAATAGAGTGGGGGATCAATTCATTGATAATTGGATAAGTGTCGGTGTTCTGTAAGATAGATGGCAGGAGGCGGGGTATATCGTTATTTTTAAGAAGAAGAGGAACAAGACTTGTTAAGAAATTAAATTACAAAATACTCAGATACAACGATGCAAACAAACTGATTAGTTTATTTATTTCATTATTTCTTTTACTTGATTGAACGTAGTGGCATTAATTACATATTTTGCATCATTTTATACGAAAAGTTAAACCATAGAGATAAAGTGTTAACGCGGATGAATCGAGTGTAGCGCATCACTAGAGAATCTTTCGCGGCATTGAGTGGCCGCCAGCACTTGCAGCCGGCTAGCGAATTAACACGACAATATCTTAAACACAGATTTTTGATTTGAATTTGGAATCGCTTCTGGACTTCAAGATCAAAATCTCGAAATCAGAGAAGAAAATTCACCCACCCACAACTATCCACATCTGAAACCAGCGGCACAATGGAAAGTTGCGGAGGAAATATGATGCAGCGCAGCAATAATCATCATGCATCAACATTTGTATCAAGAAGGTTAAACAAGAAGACATTTATAGAAAAAAAGATATCCACTACGAGAATCATCTGGAAAGGTGAAGCATTGTGAGTTCGCTTCATATTATTTTTCATATACCCGCATTGTCAGCTTATTATTAATTTAATTTCAGTAACTTTGCATTGAAATTAGTCTAAACCATTGAAAGACGTAACATAGATTATATTTTCTAACCTTCAGGCACAGCAAATGTGATAATTCTTTAATGATTTATAAATACACAGGAAACATACAGGATTTCACCTCAAACATATCTATTTACTATATTGTGAGGTTTATTCTCTTCTTTTCCGCATCACATTTCAGCTCAACACGCGGGTCAGCCGTTGTTCACGCGGCTGCTGCGCCGGCGCCGCAGTGGACGCCGCCCAATCAGCGGTTCTCGCGGAATGCTTGCTACCTGTGTTCACGCATGCTCTTAGGTATTGCAATTAACAATATTAGATGTATATGTCCATTTTATACTATGCTATGCGGATATAATATTTAATTCCTACTCTAATCTGTATCTGAGTTTTAAGACACACATTTTACGAGTATGTTTTAGTTTACCATATAAACAGCCACTATATTTACACTGTCATTTTATTAGCTTACTGTCTATTTAACCCTATTACTATTGGTCGCAATATGTGTGTCACCAACATGTTTATAATTTTTTTCACTTTGTAGCACCATAACCTTAAAAACTTGGCAAGGATATTGCCAACATATTTTTTTCTTCTACTAAATATGATTTTTTTTTTATTAAAAGTTATTAAAGTACCCACAATAAACCTAAAAAAACGAGTTTTTAATTTTGCGAAACAAAATTGTTTCTACCAGTTAAAGGGTTAAGGAAGGATAAGCAAGCTGAAGTGGCAATGAGCTGGACACGTAGCTGAAGAACCGGTAACCGATGGGGAAGGAAGGTTCTTGAGAACTGACCCCGTACGTACAAATGCAGTCTTCTATACTCTATATACAAGGTGTATTAATTTCTCAATATCAGCCACATTTAGATAGCATTATCTTCTTTGAAAAACGCTAGGTTTTAACGCACAACTTGAAGAGCTTATCCTTAGTTTTTCTAAAATTTAAAAGTGCTATTATTTTTACAAATATATTATTATTACAAATTGAAATAGAAACATATATGGATATTTCAGACCTAAATCGTGAAGAGGAATACCTGTACCGTGAAACGTTCGAGAGAGAACACTTCACGTCAGTTGTCAAGGCGCAAGTTGGTGAGCAGGTCTACCTCTGCACACTCACGCGCGAACGACGAATCACCGTTGGCAGTATCCGGGGGAATCCTTGCATCAGGTGGGCCAAGCTTATATTTATTCACTTTGAAAGCATTGCTGATGATTGAAGCTGCAATTGTAATCAGCTGTTCAGGTTTTTCTGCCAGCAATTATGTGCACGTTATCACATTAAAAAGTCCTCATTGTCAATCATATTCAAGCGATCATTACGACATTTCGACACAGTTAACAGAAATCTTAGGTCCACACAAAAACACACGACATTAACACACAAAATTGGAATATTTTATTTATTGAGTTGGATTCTAGAAAATTGGACAAATTGATTACATATATTTATTGTCAATAAACCACAAATCAGTCTATACATGTTCATATTGTAAACGAAGTCATGCCAATTATTAATATCATTTTAAAACATCATCTGTTGATGCAAGAATTAACAAGGTAAGACAATTAAAACATTGTTTTAATTGACTGCGTCAGGGACGTGGTTTAAAAGCATGTAGGATCTCTAAGGTTAAATTCCACAATACATTCTTACACAGTCATAATCAGGTGCACGACACGCATGCATCGCACGAGCAGTCTGCCATCATGCATTCAGCATCATGCACATGTACACCGAAGAACAGAACAATGAGGCGGTTGCTTTCCTCACATCCGACAGCTCTAAGGTGGTGGACTTAATTTATTAGAAAATGAACACTGTTTTCATTCAAACAGAAAAAAATCTCAGTTGACATCCTTTAACTCCGCTACCGTCACATCCCAATGATCTTGTTTTTTTAACTCCGTCTCACATTCGCATGGGATGAACATTCACAATGTTGCCTAGATCCCAGCTTGAACAGGAGAGGACACAAATATGTACATTGCCCATGTATTGTATCTTTTATTTATTGTATGTACTGCCTAAATATGCAACAGGGAGCACGTGCTCTCGTAACTAGTTTTTGAAATAGATACTATCGAGAATATATTTATGAACTACAGGTGCGGACGAAATGGCAGCGTTTTACTGGAAGAGAACTACTCATCGGTGACCTGGCTATCCCAAGAGATGACTGTCTCCCACCAAACCACTGGCTCCTTGGACGCGTCAGTCGTCTCTAATCCCGCAGTGACGGCATCGTGCGTGTCGTCGACGTCAGAACGTCAACAGGAACTTTAAAGGAAATGTGCAATTGTTTTTGTCTTCTGCGTAATATTTCTTCTTTAATTTTGACAGTTACCACTTTTTTTGTTAATGGATGATAATGCAATGGTAACCCCGCCTGCGCTAACGGTATATACTGGCGGGGAACCAGTAAGAGATGATAGGTGAGAATGAAAAAGCAGGTCAGTTAGCCCATCGTAATGAATTCACTAGAATTCAGTACATTGGTTTTCAAGGAGGACCACGTGGAGGTCGACCTGGTTGGGCATATTGCTAACAATGGGACTGGTAGTCCGCATTATTAACAATCCCCCTCCCCGACAGTTAACAGTTACACTAACTGGTAATTTAACCGACTTACCTACATATTTGTATGTACATCATCGAAAAGCTAAAGTTAATAGTCAGGATAAAAGACGTACAAGCGAATTATTTACTGAACGAAGCACAGTTTTATTGTGTTTCCGCGTTGTTTTATAGCAGGTACTGGCATAAGAATCATTTATTTATACTACATTAGTATATAAATATATTTATAATAAAAAAATAGCCCTGGCATTATATTAGAATATTGCTGAGGTTAGATAATACAAGTACATGTATTATAATGCTAGGTTGCCTCGGCGCAATCACAATTTCTTAAATAGCCTCGAAATATATTTTACGTTATTTTTTGTCACTGATTCAGTTCTAACAATTTTAACATAGACGTACAAGACTTTGTAAAAATTACAAAATATACAGATTAAATAATGTAAACTCGACGAATAACATTTACACATAGTATTTTCTCTAAATAATCTTTTAAAAATTTGCAAATAATAGATTTATGTTAATGTTTGAAGTTAATTTACCACAAAATGTGACTGTAGCCTAAAATTAGATTTACCTGTTAAATTAAAAGTAAACTGTCAATGTTAAAGCTGAAACATTACTACTACTACTTACTATTGTTAATTTCGAAAAGTTGATTATGTATGAAGCACACTGCTGTTAAGAGTTAACAATTAAAATTGAAAATACATCAAGGAATTTCATTTTCCCATTCTGGAACACCTTCGCTTGACAAGATTCCCCAATATAAAGCGCGCATTAAATTACATGCAGATTTCAATTCACAAAGTGGTTCATGTCGAACTCTTGCTCAATTAAACTATAAATGAGAAAACATCAAAAGTGAGGACAAAAAAAAAGGCAAGCTGGAAGTAGACCTGCATCTTCAGACTTAGATGATACCACAAACTTTTTGGTTAGTGTCACAATAGAAGGCATTCAAGGACTTCCTTAAACGTTTGATAGTGACAAATGTGATGAAAGAGGTGAGCAGTGAATATGAAATATCAACTACGTTATGCACTGCTACAACCACTCGAGTAATCGTCGTGTAATTTGGTACATATGTAGTACTTTCTTTTATTAATGTGTTGATATTTATTCTGTAGAAGTGATTATAATAAACTATAAAATAAAAATTTACGTGTTAAAATAATTTAGCAAGATATTTCTCTGTTTAGCTTACGAGATCATAATTGCTGATGATATTCAAACTGGTACTGAAGATCCACCAGTATATTAAAGGATAGCAATAAATATTCTTAGTAAATTATTATTTACTTTGTGTATTATTTAGTAATATTATAATGTTCGAAACATATTATTATTCTTTTCTAATTTTTGTGCAACTTTCTATTTTATTGTTTGTAAATGGATTAGCAAGCACAAAATAAATCGCCTCCTTTAACATAGTAACACTTTCACAAAATATTGCATTCACACATAGGAATTTCAAAGTTGCATTCACCAAAAATGTCTTTAAAAAGAAGACAAGAATTATCTATGCAATAAGAACCACTCCACCTTAGACAAGTTACCAACACTTTAACTTTTTCAGTTATTTTTACTTTAAATGAAATTGTGCTGAAGAAGGGCCAAATTAAAAGTACCCGTAACCGGCGAGCGTTTATGAAAAGATTGATGAATGTGGAAGTAGCGAAAGATGTTTGTTTGAATCGAATCATTTGGCATTCCATTGTTTCTGCCTACCCTAATGAGAGACAGGCGTGACAGATATTTATGTATGTATGTATGTAAATAAAATGTTTGTTTATTTTCATATCAGTTGTTCCATATATATTACTCTATCCAACTTCTTTTTAATTGAATAGGTAGCAGCAAATATCAATACTACAGAAAGCTGAATACGATGTCGGAACGGAGTCATGGTACTAAACATTTTTTTTAATTTACTTATTAATACACCGACAACTTAGGCATTAAAACTTACAAAAGAAGAAAGAAATAACATGCGGAGGTGAGTGCCGCAACAAGCAATAATATAATTAATAATAAGTCTATTAATAATGTTAATTCCAACCAGGGCGTCGGGTATGCGCTCCCCACCCTCCCTATCCAGCCTAGACATCCCCCTGGATTCCCTCCGGCTCCGTCCGCGACTACGCCTGAGGTGTCGGCGGCGGACCCATTACTAGTTGTAGTGGGTTTGCTGACCGAATTTCTAAAGGCGCTAGCGACGGGGGCGGACATTAAGTTGGTCGCGCTCGGTGGATTAGCCTCCAAGCGGCTTCACGGGCACGGCTGAACTCAAGATAGCATATGGAATCCCAGGGGAGTCACTCACAAAGCAGGCGACCTCCGCCTCTTCGCCCAGCAGCAGGACTTACATGTCATTTTGCTGGGTGAAAATAAGCTAGCCCCACATTTAGATTTCAGTGTGCCCAATTATCACGTGTATAGGCGGGATGAGATCTCTCCGGCGGGAATGCGGTACCGTGGTACGGCAGTTCTTGTCCGGAGGGATGTCGTCCATACTGAGATTGGTCACACTGAATATCGTTCCCTACATTCCAACGGGATATCGTTGAACGCAGGGGAGTCGAAGTCCGCCTGTTTGCAGGCTATCGTTCGCCCGCCGTTCACTTCTGCTCGAACGACATCCGAGCCATCATGCACAGCGACAAGCCGACTATTCTGGTGGCCGACCTCAACGCGAAACACACCGCGTGGGGGTCGTCCCGCGTGTCGAGGGACGGTTTGTGGCTGTTTCATGATGCCGAGAGCGGCGGTTATGAAATCCTTGGCCCATCCTCTTCACTCACATTGGTGGGGACCAATCCTAGGTACGCGTCCGACGTTCTGGATATAGTGTGGAGGTGTTGTACGATTTTAATACGTCTCACCTCCCGATATTGATCACGCTTGACGTAGCGGCCACGTTCGTTCCTGCGCCGCGCTCCAGAAGGAGGATCGACTGGGCGGCGTTTCAGCGCGAGCTCGACATGTACTCCCTCAGCGGCGAGCTCGCTACCCCTGAGGCGATCGAGGACGCCTCCACGGCCATAATGGACGCCTTTAAGGCCGCTAAGGAGGCGGCCACGGTCGCCCAATCCCCCTCAGGCACGGCGGGCGTATCTCGCCGCCGTGAGAAATTACCCGTCAACTTGAACGAGATGCTCGTGCAGAAGCGCCGTCTTCGCCGCCTATGGGCGCGCACGCGTTGTCCGCGCGTCTAGCGTGATCTCAACTACTGTTGCCACGTGTCACAGCGAGGACGGAGATATCATGCTATCGCGGTGCATTTGCGCATTCTTTTTCGTTCACGTTTTTCCAAGCAGCAATATACTGTCTCGATAAACATATATCGCGTAATAATTGAAATAAAGCTATCCAGTTATGCTATTTCTCTTGTAGGTTTGCAACTTTCACCCCAATCTAAATTTGTCTGCCAACACTCGTAAAAATAATTTTGCCAGTTATAATTATGGGTGACAGAATGCCATACACATCGAGCACAGACATAACGATTTGTTTAAATTTGCCTCTTGGCACTTTCTTTTCTATGTTTTCGATAAACGTTTGAATGAAACGTCAACTTTTTTTAAACCTTTATTCGGCTCCCATATAAGGTCGAGTACACGTTCACTTACGAGGTTTAACATTGCTAGCGATATATTTCATCAGGTCGACCTCTACGTGGTCCCCGCTGGAAATCATCGTGGTTAATTATTGTTGAATTCGTCACGATGGGCTAACTTACTTCACTTATTATATGAAACTAATTACTGTATATCTCTCCGGTAGTTCTGTTCGCCTGGTGTACCGGTACTTCGATATTAGATAATGCTGACGCTCAAGTTTGCACGAGTCGCATTGAAGTTGTATGTAAAACGTAAATAACGTTTATTTGCGCAATTGTTTTTAACAAATCTTTGTATAATGACATGTTTTGGAGTAAACTAAACGACTTGTTGGATTTTTATAAGTACGTGTAACATGTCGTTACATTCGTCTTAATTAGGAAAGTGCTAATGACAATAAATCATTATTTATTATGTATATGTATTATTTCTCAGCTATAGCTGATTCTGTAGAGACCAGAACGGGTTTGTTACCGACTCACTTGCTCTTATAATTTATTTTATTCAGTGGGAATATTAGCAATTGGACTATTTAAAAATTTCTTGACTATGGACCATGTGTCTGACAAATGTTTGTCAAAATTTTTTGTATTATTTTACAGTAAGCGAAAGCATAACAGGTGCCAGGTGCAGTATTGAAGACTTTTGTCTTTTAGACTTCACAAAGTTAAGGGCTACCAGTTCATGTTCATGTCAATATACCAAACAAAGTAAACTCGTTTAAACTACATGTTAAAAGTATACCATTGAAATGAAAATTAATACAATTGCATACAATAAATACAAGATGATTTAATACAACAGTCGGATACATGTATTTAAATATATTTGTATTTATTGAAATCATTAAAAATTTTTACAAATTGCAAAAGTAGGGTAGTGTAGCGTAGCGAAACAGTACGAGTATACTCTGTTATGTCCATGGTACTGCTCATGTCTATAGGCGACGGTTACCACTTTCCATCAGGTGGACCGTCAGCTTGTTTGCCACTTTAAGTTGTATAAAAAAAAAAGTGTATGATAACAGCCACATTAGTTAAAAATAACTGTGTCGTGGCTGTCAATGACCACCTTCTAAAGGCAGAGGCGCTAGCGTTCCAGTAGAATAAATAAAATTACATGATTGTCGTGTTCATTTGTTCAACATATTTTACTTACGCCAGGTAGGTGAGCTGCTTTATTCTATCTCATTAATATAATACAATTGTAACTATGTGATGTCTGTACATGTGAGATATTTAAGGAAAAGTAATATCCCCATATTCTTTTGGCATCTCTTAGTCTATGTAAGACTAATAGATGCCATAACCATGTTTTTAGTAATTTTGAACATTTGCCTGTCTTTATGATATTTCTGGCATCACACAAAAACTTTTGCACTAAATTGCATACGATTTCTAAAATTGGTATCTGTCTGTCAGTTTGTTGTATATCATGAGAGGAAAATTACTGAATGACATGAATGAAATTCAAAATAAAAATATGGAAACTGGGTGCTGTGTTGAATAAAACTCTTTATTTATCTAAAGGTGAAATACCTACTCTCATGGAATCAGGGAGCGCGACAGTATAGCCATACCAACGTCTTCTCACTCACTCATCTCAATTACGGCACTTTTGATCCCTGTAACTTATAAAGCAAGAAGTTTGATTTTTAGGTGATCAAAAGGAATTAAGAACATACTATTTGGCATGATTTCGCGAATATTTAGTAACAAGTTTGAATGATAAAATTTTATATGACTTTGGCACTTAAAATGGATTTGGTAAAAAGTTGTGTTCAACTATAACCAATTCATTTAACTATTTGGTTTGAAAATTAAAAAGAAATGACAATGCGGTCTCATTTTACTGAATAACTTCTAAGTTTTAGTAACAATATCATACCAACTTTATGTTTGTTTATTAATAAACGACGACCCCAAATTTCTGCGTCTCTGTGTTTTTTATTACACAGCTAGTAAGTGCTCACACATAATAAAGAAAAAGTGACAATTTAAAGAGGTTTTTGATATAAGTTCTATCTTTTTTTTTATACAACTTAG